ACTGGGAGGAGCGCCACGCCCCCTGATGAATCACGGGCAAGTGCTAGGCTGGGGGGGGGGTCACCTAGACCGAGCGCGTGTTGAGAAGCCAGAGAAAAGGGCCAAGGAGGAGCCCTGGGGCTCTCTGCGAAGTGAGAACCCCACCAAAGAGACCGAGAAGAAGCCACCTTTGAGGCTGCACGGTGGTGTTCTGAGTCTCGTTCCCTCTCTCAGTGAGCTGCTTGGTCTAGTTGGGACCCTCTGGGGACGCAGGGTGGATGAGGCTGGTGTGGCCTTGGGGAGACGGGAGTTTTCTCACAGGGGGAAGGGAAGAAGGGAGAGAGAGTTGCGGTCTTTAACGTAATGGGGAACAGTGGGAGGTGGAAAACGCAGGTATTGGTGGCTTTCCGGTCCCCTCCCCCTTCCCCCATCTCACTCTCCGAAGCTCCAGGAACACAGATGGGCGCTTGTGTTCCTCCTCCTGAGCTAGTCTGCTTCCTCCCTGGGGGGCACCGCATTTATGGAAATAGTGTCTTCACGTTTGAAACGTGAGCTGCAGACCTAAGCTCCTTCAGGTTTTTTGTTTTTTTACTTTAATTCAATAGTGAAACTGCGGGGAAAAGGGGGCACTTGCGCTCTTACCTGCACCAGAGTCCTCCCTCCCGTGAGGTCCCCTCCCAGGGCACTCGAGACCGTGAGCGGCGGCTCTCTCTGGCCGGACTTGGCCTACAGAGCCTGCGCTCCCGGGGACCGTGGGGCCAAGGAGTCAGGGTGATTGGCGGCACTCGGGTCCCCAGCAGCCCCCCACCAGGGCCCCCAGCCACGAGTCCGGTCCTCCGCGGGTCCTCCGCCTCGCCTCACCGCCCCCCCACCCCAACCGGACAGACCTCCTTCCCGTGGAAGCCGGTGGAGAGGACAGTCCTGGGGCAGGACTCCAGACAGGGATCCAGGCAGTGGACGCCCCGCCCCAGGAGGCCTGGGCCGGCGGAGAGGGCACACCTGGTGGCCGTTGAACTCCGCAGCGAGCCTGGCCGCAGCTGACCCTCCCAGCCGGGCGAGAGCAGCCAAGGACAGCGGCGCAGGACAGGCCGGGGCCCGGCGGTAGGATCCCCCTCACCTCTGCGCGCCCTGCACAGCTTCCATCTGGTCCTGCCCCTCTGAGCAGGGGCGAGCTCTTGGTGGAGGATGGTGTTGCGCACAGGGTTGAGTGGTGGCGGTGGGAGGGGTCCGCGTTCGCTCCCTGAACTTGGCCCCTCTTTATAGGGGGGACCGAAAAGCCCCCGTGCTCCCCCATCCTCGCAAGCCCCCTGAGGAAGAAGCCCGGGGAGCAGTCTGGTCCACACCGCACGTTGCTCCACCGACGGATCGGATGGATGGATGGATCGCAGGCGGTGGGGCTGAGCAACTCACGTTTTCATTTCAAAGGAAACCAAACCAACCTTAAAGCAAACAGACAAAAAACCAGGAGGAGGTGGGCTGATTCCTCCACACCTACCGTGAAACCCAGTAGGCACGCTCTACTCAGCGACCTCAACCCAGCACCTCCCTGACAGCGTTTCTTGGAAGAGCCTAGAAGACTCCTGGATTGAGACTTGAGGGGTTCGGCGTGAGTTGGGCCTGTCTTTTGAAAGAACAAACACATCTGGAAGTTTGTGGGAGTTTCCAGACCAGGCCTTGCTTGTCCTCTGACCCACCTGCGCAGGGCCCAGCGGTTGTTCTGGGGAGTCTCCTCTGGCCGGTCCACCCCAGGGAGGGGGCCCCTGCCGGGAACGGTCTAGAGGCCACCCACCCAGGCCCCCGTGAACGTTCAGACTCCACACGAGCAGTGGAGGGCCGAGGGGAGGCTTGTGCGGACTCGGGTTTAAAAGCGCCTAATTGCAGCCTCTCACACACCAACATGCCAAGTTGTTGGTGCCTCTGAGTTTTGAGCCTTTCCAACAGCTGCCACAGGCCTGCTGGGCTCACCCCTGGGATCAGGTACGTTGGCCACGAAGGCCGCCTCAGGAAATGTTGCTTTTCGGAGTTCTCACCAAGGGAGTTTTAAGAGCACAAGCATTTTATTGAGCCCAACTCCGTGGCAAACAGAAAATGATCTGTTAGGTTGTCAGTGGGAAAGGGTTTTTTTTTTATTACGACTGCCGGTGGAGTCAACGGAGGCCGGTTTCTGCCAACATTTATGGAAATAATGTTTTTAAGTTTTAAATGTGAGCTGTAAACCTAAGCTACTTTAGTTTGGGTGTTTTGGGTCTTTTTTTTTTTTTTT